CCTAGACCCTTCTTCAGAAATGAAGAAGGGTCTAGGCCCGAAACGTCAGCCTTCCTGCTCGGCCTGCTGTGTTCATCCAGCTCTACACCTTGATATCTCAGATTCTCCACCATCTGCAGTTCCTATCTCCATACAAGCTTCCTTGTCTAAATCTAACATTTTAACTATCTATTCTCTTTTTTCAACGCTAGTCTAGTTTCTGATCAAGTGCATCTATACTACTCACTTTAACTATTTCCTGTGATAGTGATATTTACATTTATAATTCATGGCGTAAATAAATTTCTTCTGAATTACCTTTTAGATTCATTAGGGATTGTTTTATATTGATGGTCTCTAATTATGCCTTTCCCTCAAGAGGAAACATGCTCTCTCCATCCATCCTATTAAACACAAATGTAGGAGCAAATTACTGCAGATGCTGGAATCTGAGCTTCAGCCCTGATAAAGAGTTGTCTAGACTCGAAACATTAGCTTGCTTTTTCTCCATGGATGCTGCCTGACCTGTGGTGAGCTCCAGCATTTTTTGTTTTCAGTCCATCTTTTCAAAGCCTTTCATCACTTTAAAGAATTTTATTAGGTCACCTCTCTGCCTTCCCTTTCTGACAGAAAAGAAAAACACAGTCTGTTAATACTTTGCTAATGTGTTAACCCATGCAGTTCTGGGGATTATCCTTCTAAATTTTCTCCAAACTCCTTGCACTGTCTTGTATCGTGTGAGCAGATACAGGTTTAATTTTAATCCCTACTTGTCAATTAATAAAGCCTACTGTTGGTTGGTTTTTTAAAAAAATGGCCTTGCTGACCTGTGGCACAATTTTTGTCATTGTATTCCAAGCTCCTTTATCCCACAACCCCACCTGGGCTCATACCTTCCTAATAAGTGACCTCCCTATTTTTCCAAACAGATTCTACTGCCTCACATTTATCGGTGTTGAACTTCATTTGACAGTTATTTACGAGGTCTACAAGTTTACTAATGTTTTCCTCAGTATTGACTGCACTGCACACTTCTTCCTCCATTAATCGATACAATCTATAAATTTTGACATTTCTTTTTTGATTCCATAGTCCAAATTATTAATGTGAACTATGAACAATAGCGCTCCCAACACAAATCCTTGAAAACACTTCCCACCTTCTGCCACTTTGAACAATGAACAACACTTTGCTATCACTCTCTACTGTGTCTTGAATTTAGATAGCAATCCATTCTCCCACTTGTCCCTTGACTCCACATCAACTGACATCATTCATGAGTATATCATAGGACTCCCTTCAAAAATCCAGATAAATTATCATCCACATAAACACATGACCACCACCGATTCTCTGTTATTTCCTCAAAGAACTACAAGGCTGATCAAGCAAGATTTTCCCTTTTGAAATTCAAGCTAATAATTCATTATTATTTTTCATTTCTAGATTTTATTTCTTCCTCCCCTTTAGAAAGTATTCCATTAGTTTTCCAACCACTGGTATTAAGCTTATGGGCTATAATTGGCTTTATAATTCCATCAGCATGTTCCATCCCTTCTCTTAAACACAAACTACTTGAGCTATTTATCAATCCTCTGGAACACAACTTTGTCAAATTAATTTTTTTAAAAATTATAGAATCCCTACAGGGTGGAAACAAGCCCTTCGGCCCAACACCAATTCCCCTACTCTCTCATCTGTAGATGCTTTCAAAATATGTGCATACAATCCACTTGGACCAGACCTTTATTCCTCTTTGCGTTTGTCTAGTTTATTTCCCTTTTTAAATTTTAAACGCATTAATGTCATTGGTCTTCTCATCATTCATTGTCATGTCTACCTCTCCTCTCTCCGTGGTAAATATCAAAGTGAATTATTTATGTAATATCTCATTACCTGTGGTGTTACCCTGACTATCTCTAACAGTCCCATTCTCATCACGGTCTTCTTTTTTGATTGATGTACCTGTAAATTATTTTAATATTTTGTTTTATGCTCCTTGATCAATTATTTTCATAATTCCTCAATGCTTTCCTAGTTATTTTTGTACTTATTCCCTTATCTCTTTATATCCTCTCTTATTGAATCTTACTGAATTGAGAAGGAACTTCTTCACCCAGAGGGTTGTTAATCTATGGAATTCCTTGCCCAGTGAAGTAGTTGACGCTACTTCAGTAAACGTTCTTAAAGATAAGGTAGATTTTTTTTGAACAATAAAGGAATTAAGGGATACGGTGAGGACGCACGTAACTGGATCCGAGTCCACGAAAAGATCAGCCATGATCTCATTGAATGGCGGAGCAGGCTCGAAGGGCCGGACGGCCTACTCCTGCTCCTAGTTCTTATGTTCTTATTCTGCACCCCCTTGCTCTCTATAGACATCATGCTTGCCTATTTCTTAAACCTCAATTGTTATCTTTTGTCTTTATTCATCCACAGACTCACCGTAAGAAATAGAACAGAAGTAGGCTGTTCAGCCACTCGAACCTGACCTGCCATTTAATAGGATCATTGCTGAACCGACATTCCTCACATCCACTTTCCTGCCTTTTCCCTGTAACTTTTGATTCCTCTACTGATCCTATGGGCAAAGATTTCCAAGGACTGACAACCCTCAAGAGGAAATTCCTCATCTGTCTTAAACTGACATCCTTTATTCGGAGACTATGCTCGAGGAAACATCCTCTCAGCATTTACACTGTCAACTCCCTTAAGAATCCGGTATGTTTCAATGAGATCATCTCTCCTTCTTCTAAACTCCAGCAAGTAGAGTCCCAATCTGTTTAGCCTTTGTTCATAAGACAATCTCTCCATACCACGGATCATCCAAGAGAACCTTCTCTGAACAATATCTTTCCTGAAATAAGGGGACCAAACCTACCTCAGTATTTCTTTCATAGTCTCACCAGCACCTGGTACAGTTGCAGTAAGATTTCCCTAGTTTTATACTCCAACCCCCTTGTAATAGGAGCCAACATCCCATTAGTCTTCTCGATTACCTGCTGCACCTGTGTGCTAGTGTTCTGTGTTTCATGTACAAGTACCCCCAAGTCCCTTTCTGAAGCTGCTCTGCAGATTTTCTCCATTTAAATAATTCTGTTCTTTTGTTCTCCCTTACAAAATGAACAGCTTCACATTTTGCTACGTTATAATCCATTTGACAACTTCTTGCCCACTCACTTATCAATATCTCTTAAAAACTGTATCCCTCTTGCAACTTGCCTTTCTATCTATTTTTGTGTCATCTGCAACTTTGGCTACAGTTCATTTGCTTCCTTCCTCCAAGTCTTTAATATATATTGTAGATCCTCTGTATCGGTGAAATCACGAATTCAACTATCCATACTATAAACATGGAACATCTGGATAATGAGAATACCTGCGTTAGGCTTCTACTCATCGACTACAGCTCTGCCTTCAACCAATCCCAACCAAAGTAGTCTTCATACTCCAAGATCTATGTTTCAGCTCCACCCTCTGCAACTGGATCCTCAGCTTCTTGACCCACAGGCCACAATTAGTGAAGATAAACAACAGCACCCCCACCATGATAATCCTCAACACCGCCTCCCCACAAGAATACTCATCCCCTTACTGTACTCCCTGTACACCCGTGATTGCGTGGCCAAATTTCGTCCAAACACCATTCACAAGTTCACTGACGAACTACTGAATGGACCTCTTAGATTTCAACCTAATTTGTACACCACCTGTGTAGCCGTAACTCTGTGTACGTCACTCTATTCAATCATTTTATGATCTGTATATCTTTGTATGTTATGATCTGCCTGTACTGCTCGCAAAACACAACTTTTCACTGTACTTAGGTACGTGATAATAATAAAATCAAAAGTAAGTAACAACATAATTCCACATTCTGTACACATTGTAGAAACTCCATGCCCTTAACTCCTTGATCTTTCTCTTTGCTCAGTTAATATGGGAGCAGCTACAATCCCCCAGCGTTTTCATGCAATTTCCTAATGTGCCTGTACATTTCTTCCTCATTCTCCCTTTGACTATGCAGGTGCTCTGTAGACTATACCTAGCAATGCAAATGACGCTTATTACCTTTTATTCCTATCAATATGGGTTCTATTTTGGTTTTGCTGATAGCCACATCTCTTTTTCTACTGTCATAATATTAATCTGAGTAAGCATTGCTACTCCATGTCCCCATTGTCTTTTTTTTTATAGAAATGTTATAACCAGCAATGCTCAGTTCTAAGTCCTGATTTTTCTCCAGCACATCTCGGTCAACTGCATTATTTCTGATTCCTCTCAAGATGAGTTTTTTTCTCCTTATTCTTTATAGGATATATTCTGGCAAGGACCAGTAATTAATGTTCATTCATAACTTTTCTTGAACTGAGTGGCTTGGCCAGTAAAGAGGCAAT